CAGGTGAGAATTTCTGGAGGTGTTCTGAACCATTAGACGCTACACCACATCCCTCACAGAAGCTGGACATGAAACAATGATCGCCTGATATAAATAGCCTATCCTACTATGATGACATAACACGACTGTTTGTATGATCATATCTTGACATGTCAGTAAACAATGGCAGTCTTCTCTGTGAGCATATCTTGACGTGACAGTAAACCATGGCAGTCTTCTCTGTGAGTATATATTGACGTGACAGTAAACCGTGGCATTCTTAACATGAGCATATCTTGCCGTGACAGTAAACCATGGCAGTCTCCCCTGTGAGTATATATTGACGTGACAGTAAACCATGGCATTCTTAACGATGAGCATATCTTGACGTGACAGTAAACTTTGTCAGTCTTCTCTGTGAGCATATCTTGCTGTGACAGTAAACTTTGGCAGTCTTCTCTGTGAGCATATTTTACCATGACATTAAACTATGACAGTCTTCCCTATGAGCATATCTTGACGTGAGTGTAAACTATGGCTGTCTTCTGTGTGAGCATATCTTGCCGTGACAGTAAACTATGGCTGTCTTCTGTGTGAGCATATCTTGCCGTGACAGTAAACTATGGCTGTCTTCTGTGTGAGCATATCTTGACGTGACAGTAAACTATGGCTGACTTCTGTGTGAACATATCTTGACGTGTCAGTAAACTATGGTTGTCTTCTGTGTGAGCATATCTTGCCGTGACAGTAAACTATGGCTGTCTTCTGTGTGAGCATATCTTGCCGTGACAGTAAACTATGGCTGTCTTCTGTGTGAGCATATCTTGCCGTGACAGTAAACTATGGCTGTCTTCTGTGTGAGCATATCTTGCCGTGACAGTAAACTATGGCTGTCTTCTGTGTGAGCATATCTTGCCGTGACAGTAAACTATGGCTGTCTTCTGTGTGAGCATATCTTGACGTGTCAGTAAACCATGGCAGTCTTCCCTGTGAGCATATCTTGACGTGTCAGTAAACCCTGGCAGTCTTCTCTGTGAGCATATCTTGCCGTGACAGTAAACCATGGCAGTCTTCTCTGTGAGCATATCTTGACGACACAGTCGGTCGTCTGAACTGTGATCATATCCAAGCACGACAGTAAGACATGGTCGTTTAAACTGTGAGCATGTCTTGCTGTGAAAGTAGGACACACGGTCGTCTATATTGTGATCATATCCAACCATGACAGTAAGACATGGTCGGTCATCTAAACTGTGAGCATACCCAACCACGACAGTAAGACACGGTCGGTCGTCTAAATTGTGAGGATATATTGCTGTGACAGTAAGACACGGTCGTCTAAACTGTGAAGATATATTGATGTGACAGTATGACATGGTCGTCTAAACTGTGATCATATCCAAGCACGACAGTAAGACATGGTCGTCTAAACTGTGAGCATATCTTGCCGTGACAGTAAGACACTGTCGTCTATACTGTGACCATATTCAACCATGACAGTAAGACACGGTCGGTCATCTAAACTGTGAGCATATCTTGCTGTGACAGTAAGACACGGTCGGTCGCCTAAACTGTGAAGATATATTGCCGTGACAGTAAGACATGGTCGTCTATACTGTGATCATATCCAACAATGACAGTAAGACACGGTCGGTCGCCTAAACTGTGAGCATATCTTGCTGTGACAGTAAGACACGGTCGTCTAAACTGTGAGGATATATTGCCGTGACAGTAAGACATGGTCGTCTAAACTGTGATCATATCGAACCATGACAGTAAGACACGGTCGGTCGTCTAAACTGTGAGGATATCTTGCTGTGACAGTAAGACACGGTCGTTCGTCTAAACTGTGAGCATATCTTGCTGTGACAGTAAGACACGGTCGTCTAAACTGTGAGGATATATTGCCGTGATAGTAAGACATGGTTGTCTATACTGTGATCATATCCAACCATGACAGTAAGACACGGTCGGTCGTCTAAACTGTGACCATATCCAATCACGAGAGTAAGACACGGTCGTCTTTAAACTGTGATCATATCCAACCATGACAGTAAGACACGGTCGGTCGCCCTAAACTGTGAGCATATCTTGCTGTGACAGTAAGACACGGTCGTCTAAACTGTGAACCATATATTGCCGTGACAGTATCCAAGACATGGTCGTCTAAACTGTGATCATATCTTGCCGTGACAGTAAGACACGGTCGGTCGTCTAAACTGTGATCATATCCAACCATGACAGTAAAGACAGTCTGTCGTCTAAACTGTGAGCATATCTTGCTGTGACAGTAAGACACGGTCGGTCGTCTAAACTGTGAGCATATCTTGCTGTGACAGTAAGACATGGTCGTCTATAAACTGTGATCATATCTTGCTGTGACAGTAAGACGGTCGGTCGTCTAAACTGTGAGCATATCTTGCTGTGGCAGTAAGACACGGTCGTCTAATCTGTGAGCATATCTTGCTGTGACAGTAAGACGCGGTCGTCGTCTAAACTGTGATCATATCCAACCATGACAGTAAGACACGGTCGTCTAAACTGTGAGCATATAAGACCAATCTAAACTGTGACATGATGACAGTAAGACACGGTCGTCTAAACTGTGATCATATCCAACCATGACAGTAAGACACGGTCGGTCTAAACTGTGATCATATCTAAACTGTGAGCATATCTTGCTGTGACAGTAAGACACGGTCGTCTAAACTGTGATCATGTGATCATATCCAACCATGACAGTAAGACACGGTCGTCTAAACCATGACAGTGTCGGCATATCCAACCGTGACAGTAAGACACGGTCCTTTAAACTAATGATCATATCCGAACCATGACAGTAAGACACGGTCGTCTAAACTGTGAGGATGTCTTGTCGTGACAGTAAGACGCGATCGGTCGTCTAAACCATGGCACTCTCATCTGTGATCATATCCAACCATGACAGTAAGACACGGTCGCGTAAACTGTGAGCATGTCTTAACGTGACAGGAAGACACGGTCGGTCGTCTAAACTGTGACCATATCCAACCATGACAGTAAGACATGGTCGTCTAAACTGTTAGCATGTCTTGCTGTGACAGTAAGACACGGTCGGTCGTCTAAACTGTGACCATATCCAACCATGACAGTAAGACACGGTCGTCTATACTGTGAGCATGTCTTGCTGTGACAGTAAGACACGGTCGTCTATACTGTGAGCATGTCTTGCTGTGACAGTAAGACACGGTCGTCTATACTGTGAGCATGTCTTGCCGTGACAGTAAGACACGGTCGGTCGTCTAAACTGTGATCATATCCAAGCTGTGGCAGTAAGACACGGTCGTCTAAACTGTGAGCATATCTTGCTGTGACAGTAAGACACGGTCGTCTAAACTGTGAAGATATATTGATGTGACAGTATGACATGGTCGTCTAAACTGTGATCATATCCAACCATGACAGTAAGACACAGTCGGTCATCTAAACTGTGAGCATATCTTGCTGTGACAGTAAGACACGGTCGGTCGTCTAAACTGTGAGCATATCTTGCTGTGACAGTAAGACATGGTCGTCTAAACTGTGAGGATATCTTGCTGTGACAGTAAGACACGGTCGGTCGTCTAAACTGTGAGCATATCTTGCTGTGACAGTAAGACATGGTTGTCTTCTCTCTGAACATACCCTGAAGTTTCGTGTTTGGTGAGCATGTAGTGGCAACAGCTAGGTTTGCAGAACCGTGGGTTGGAATCTTAGTTTCGCTTGTAGATTATTTGTGGATGTGTCATTACAAGACAGCTTACCCATTCTCATGGGTTTCACCATAGCGGTAGAGGTCTACGATCGGTAACACGTCAGATGTTTCACTCGTGTCTCTGCCACAGATATGTCGTGTCTCCCACAGATATGTGTCAGATATGTCGTCTCCACAGATATGTCGTGTCTCCCACAGATATGTCGTGTCTCCCACAGATATGTCGTGTCTCCCACAGATATGTCGTGTCTCCCACAGATATGTCGTGTCTCCCACAGATATGTCGTGTCTCCCACAGATATGTCGTGTCTCCCACAGATATGTCGTGTCTCCCACACCAGATATGTCGTGTCTACCACAGATATGTCGTGTGTCCACAGATATATGTCGTGTCTATGTCACAGATATGTCGTGTCTCCCACAGATATGTCGTGTTCCCACAGATATGTCGTGTCGTGTCTACCACAGATATGTCGTGTCTACCACAGATATGTCGTGTCTCCCGTCCCCACAGATATGTCGTGTCTCCCACAGATATGTCGTGTCTCCCACAGATATGTCGTGTCTCCCACAGATATGTCGTGTCTACCACAGATATGTCGTGTCTCCCACAGATATGTCGTGTCTCCCACAGATATGTCGTGTCTCGATATGTCGTGTCTCGTTTTGTCTACAAATATGTCGTGTCTCCCACAGATATGTCGTTTCTCCGTCTACCACATATATGTCGTGTCTACCACAGATATGTCGTGTCTCTAGCACAGATATGTCGTGTCTCCCACAGATATGTCGTGTCTACCACATATATGTCGTGTCTCCCACAGATATGTCGTGTCTACCACAGATATGTCGTGTCTATTGTCTACACAAATATGTCGTATGTCTCCGTCTATCGGACATCCCGTCTACCACATATGTCGTGTCACCACAGATATGTCGTGTCTCCCACAGATATGTCGCAATATAAGTGAAATGCTGTTAAACATGTCATCCAGCTTAATTCTTCTTTGATAACTTTATTTCTTGTTGAACCGGGTACAACATTTTTTATACACATACCAACCTAATTCTTTTAACCACTTGCTATCCGTATAGTCACAACCGACTAAATCAATGTATTCGTCCTTGAATCGCCCTCCCTGTTAACGCTCCCCCTACGTCCTGGCTGTCTGATAACGATGCCGTTTTTTGTGAGTAGTTGTGAATGACTTTTTCTTGTTCATCATTGCAGCTCACTCCCGGAGATTTATAGGACATGTCATTGAACACATTGCCCATGAAGTTGAGCATGGAGTTGATCACGTGGTGGCATGGAGTTGATCACGTGGTGGATGAAGTCAACAATGGAGTTGATCACGTGGTGGATGTAGTCAAGTGTCAAGTGACCTCCTGTAAGAGTAAGTATGTGAAGGTTCAGCTTCCGGTCGTCTGAACAACTGCAGCAGATGTCTGACAAAGAAAGACAGAGTCGCAGTCTGTAGGTATAGAAAACGGTGAAGTGTGCGATGGTACAAGAATGTCATCTGTGACCATAACTAAATTGCGATAGAGCAATCAGGTAGTAGTATTTGGTAGTATCTAGTATTGTGGTAGTATCTCGTTACACCAATCACCTGTCGTTATCACGACAATTGTGTGAGCCGCGGCTATGACCGGTAGAGCTGGACGTGTTGGTCACAGCGATGTCATCACTATTGGTCAGAGATCCAATCTTACGATATCAAGATATCATGGACTTGACGCGCCCAGTGGAATCTGTTTCAGTAGATAATCGACATTCATTTATAGACACTATGAACGTTGTTTGAATAAGCAACAAAAACGGTGAAGCCAACTTGAATCAGTCGACACCGTTGCCATGTGATAACGAGAGAGTTAGATTTATTGCCATGTCCAGGCCTTCCGCTGAGGTTTTTGTTTGTTTGTCGTTACTCCCACTGACAAGCCTCAAATAACATAACCATTGTATGTTAAACTCATCACACAAATTGTTTGATAAATGAACTTGGCATGCGTGACACATCAACTAGTGCCAGATATAAGGCACGTATGTTAATTGAGGAAGAACTCTGCCTAAAACATTCAAAGGTGCTATCAACGTTTGGCTTGACTCTTAAACCGAAATACATGTCCATTCCTCTTTTGTACTGAATTCCAAAGACTAGCATATGGATGGCAACTTCTTCTTTATTGCATAACACGACGTTTCTGGGCTACTTCTTGCCCCTTCTTCAGGTGATTGATAAAAATCCGTACAAAGAGAGATATATTGCTGGTTCCAGCAAATGTACCACAAAAATGACTCATAGATTAACCATAATGCTTGATACTATCAAGGAAGGACCTTCTCGATGTTCACATAAAGTATTTGAGTGAGTGAGTTTAGTTTTACGCCGCACTCAGCAATAGTCCAGCTATATGGCGGCGGTCTGTAAATATTCGAGTCTGGACCTGACAATCCAGTGATCAACATCATGAACATTGATCTGCTCAATAGGGAACCGATGACATGTGAGCAACCAAGTCAGCGAGCCTGACCACCCGATCCTTTTATCCTTAGTCGCCTTTTATGGCAAGCATGGGTTGCTGAAGACCTATTCTACCCCGGATCTTCACGGGTCCATAAAGTATTTGAGACAAACGGAATCAAAACCAGGTGAATTCTCAAAACTCAAATTATTTGCATACATGTTTAATATCTCAAAACTGATCGAGTTCCGTTCTGTAAAACATTTGATTTTTCAACTCCACATGACAAACCCATGGAAATATTTCATTCCTTGATCCACTGGGCACTTGTAAACAAGCGTGGTACAAGGTACATATCTATCTTCAGAGGTTCAGGACATTTTTCAAAAATGAAAGCAAATGACATTTGAAGTTTACCGAGAGAAAACAATGTGTGAAATCCCGGACTTTCTCATTGATAACATCTGTGTAAAATTTGGCAAAACATTTAGACAAGAAGGAGGCATCCCCATGGGCACCCATGGGCACCCATTGTGCTCCTCTATTTGCTGATCTGTTCCTTGATGCATATGAATCAGACTTTCTGCTTGGGTTGGCAAAATTAAATGAGGGTAATTTGCCCAAGAAGATTAACTTAAACTTCAGGTATATCGATGACTTGATATCGTTCAATGACCATCAAATAGCCAATTGCCCTCCACTGATTTACCCACCTGAACTTGAAAGTAAGGAGACAAGTGAGACCGCCTCAAGTGTTTCATATTTAAATCTATGCATAAAGAGTCAGAGTGGAAACAACCTCCCCACAAGGCTGTATGACAAAATAGGTGATTTCAACTTCCCAACTTTTCTTGATGTCGAGCAATATTACAAAAGATCCAGCCTTTGGTGTGTACATTTCACAACTTTTGAGGTACGATCGAGCATGTTCCTCTTACCAAGATTTTAAAAGCGTCATGCCACTCTTGCTCAGAAGTTGTTCGATCAAGGTTACAACATTCAATGCCTCGGTAAAGCTTTCTGGAAAGGTTTTATAGTAGACATGTGGAGGACGTCAGTGACAAACAATGATGTCCGATGCAATTCCCTCTTAAGATTTATTTCACCGAATTTCAGGTGAACAATTGACTGGACTTTGCACATGTTTATGACGAGTGCCACCGCTCACCTTTTTCGCGAACGCCTGATATCATAACTATTTCCTAGTGATTCATAAACACGTGGTCTCATCGATCGCGTAGTGACAATCACCGGATTGTCTAGTCCACACTCAATGTGTTTACAAACAGCATCGTAATAATGCTGAAGCAAATATGCACTCAAGATATAGTGACAATTGTACAATCGACTCTGCTTTTAGCATCACTTTCTTACAGACTCAATGTGTTTACAAACAGCATCGGAATAATGCTGGAAGCAAATATGCACTCAAGATATAGTGACAATTGTACAATCGACTCTGCTTTTAGCATCAATTTCTTACAGACGTGGAACAAGGTTTTGTCGTTTCCATTTACGAAAGAAATTAACGCGCTGCATCCTTTCAACGTTGTATGTTCTCGTTGGTACATTTGTAAATATTTAACAAGTAACAAATTCCAGATATTTTCCCTTCTTATCCGAAGGCCCAGATCCTGTAGTGCACAACCCTCCCAGCATCACCTGTCCCAGCGTCCCCACGGTCACTGCCCCGCCCAGAGCTACCAGTGCCAAGGTCACGTGGCACGAACCTGCAGGGTAAAGTATCATCAATACCTGGTACTAAACACTTCTACGTGACATGTTGAGTCCCGCAGAACACATGCACAGTTCCAGGTAGTCCAGTTTATTTTCTCGCTGCTTCGATATTTATTTTCGCCGCATAAAGTTTCTTTCAAAACCTCGAACATTTATTTTTTTCTAAGAGCCTTGGAGCACAGGCAAATAGGGTTGCGCAACAAAGAAAATCACCAGTCTTCCCATATGCGAGCAAAGCGAGCAAAGGATGGCAACGTGCTTCCCTCGCTTCGGTTCGAAAATATTTTTATTTCAAAAATAAAATATCGCCATCATCAAAGGTAGACACCCATTTCCTCACAGAGTTGTGCTCTCAGATTTCCAACCTCATATGTAATAATTACTCAAAGTACGATATATTTAATTCAACATTTTAAGCGCCACTCGTGGCATGTCAAATCGTTCTTCGCCTCCATTACCCTTGCCAGCTTCCAGTTCAACGGAGTGAAGGAACAGTGGAGTTAAATCTAAATATGCTTTCATTTACCCGTTACGCCAGAAGTGTTACTGTAGAATGAATGTTACCAAAATTTTACAATGACAACGACAGATTAGAAAATAATCCCCAACAGTTTAAAGGTAAAATTATACAATGTGATATTTGTGTTTAATTTCTGCGTATTTTTGTTCCTTCACTCCGTTGAACCGGAAGCTGACAGGGGTATTGGAGGCGAAGAACGATTTGACATGCCACAATTTGCGCTTAAAATGTTGAATTAAATATATTGTAGGTGAGTAATTATTAAATATGAGGTTGGACATCTGAGAGCATAACTCTGTGAGGGAATGGGTGTCTACCTTTAATTATGGCGATATTATATTTTCATATTAAACATATTTTTCGAACCGAAGCGAGGGAAGCACGTTGCCATCCTTTGCCTCTCGCTTTGCTCATATGGGAAGACTGGTGATTTTCTTTGTTGCGCAACTCTATTTGCGCTACAATTTGCTGTCGTGCATGGAGCTACGAGAAAGTTTTATGGAAGCAACGAGAAAATATTTGAAATTTCTTGTTTTTGATAGAAATTCGAAGCAAAGAGCAAATATTTCAAACAACAAGAAACTGCCCCCAAGTATATTGACTTCTGATGTTTCTGCAGAGCCAGTAGAAGTGGTCCAGCTCCAGGGAGTGTGTTGCACGAGGGAGTGACATCAGTCAATTACACTGTCAAGGACAGCGCCACCGGTCTTTCCAACAGATGCACCACGAAGATTGTGGTCCGGGGTAAGTCCATGTGTAGTCCCACAGTTTTTTTTTTTCAGTGTAGTCCCACAGTAAGTCTCGTGTAGTCCCACAGTAAGTCTCGTGTAGTTCCAGTCTCCTGTAGTACGTCTCGTGTAGTCCCACAGCTAGTGTCATGTAGTCCCACAGTCAGTCTCGTGTAGTCCCACAGTAAGTATCGTGTAGTACCATAGTTAGTCTCGTGTAGTCCCACATTTAGTCTCGTGTAGTCCCACAGTAAGTCTCATGTAGTCCCACAGTAAGTTTCGTGTAGTCCCACAGTAAGTCTCATGTACTGCCAGAGAAAGTCTTGTGTAGTCTCACAGTAAGTCTCGTGTATTCCCATAGTAAGTCTCATGTACTGCCAGAGAAAGCCTCGTGTAGTCTCACAGTTTGTTGGGTGTAGTCCCGCCGTTAGTCTCATGTAGTCCCACAGTTTGTCTCTGTGTAGTCGAACAGTAAGTTTCGTATAGTCCCACAGGAAGTCCCGTGTAGTCCCACAGTTATCCTTGTGTGGACTCCACAATAAGTCTCGTGTAGTCTCTCCGTAAATCTAATGTAGTCCCACAGTAAGTCTCTGTGTAGTCTTACAGTAAGTCACGTGTAGTCCACAGTTAGTAAGTCACGCATAGTCCCACAGCTAGTCTCTCATGTAGTCCCACAGTAAGTATCGTGTAATCTCACAGTAGGTCTCGTGTAGTCCCACACTTAGCCTTGTATAGTCCCAAAGGAAGTCTCTGTGTAGTCCCTGCAGTAAGTCTCGTGTAGTCCCACAGTAAGTGCCGTGAAGGCCCATAGTAAGTCTCTTTGTATTCCCACAGTAAGTCTCATGTATTCCTAGAGTTAGTATCGTGTAGTCTCACAGTAAGTCTCGTGTAGTCCCACATTTAGTCTCGTGAAGTCCTACAGTTAGTCTCGTGTAGTTACACAGTAAGTCTCGTGTAGTCCCACAGTTAGTCTCGTGCAGTCCCACAGTATTTTCGTGTAGTCCGACAGTAGGTCATGTGTAGTCCCTACAGTAAGTCCTCTCGTGTAGCCACACAGTTAGTCTCTCGTGTAGTCACACAGTAAGTCCTCGTGTATTCCAACAGTAAGTCTTGTGTAGTCCCACAGTTAGTCTCTGTGTTGTCTCACCTTTTGTTCCTGTCTAGTCCCAAAAGTAAGTCTCGTGTAGTCCTGGGACAGTGTCTCGTGTAGTCTCACAGTTAGTCTCTGTCTAGTCCCACAGTGTCTCGTCTAGTCTCACAGTTAGTCCTGTCCTAGTCCCACAGTGTCTCGTGTAGTCCCACAGTTAGTCTCGTGTAGTCCCACAGTTAGTCTTGTGTAGTCTCACAGTAAGTTTCGTGCAGTCCCACAATAGGTCTCGTGTAGTCTCACGCTTAGCAGTGTATGTAGTCGTAAAGACAGTTTTGTGTTTTGTGTGGAACCCACAGTTAGTATTGCCTTGTCATACAGTCAGTCTCGTGTGTAGGCCCACAGTTAGTATCACCTAGTCATATGGTTAGTCTCGTGTAGGCCCCTCAGATAGTCGTCACCTAGTCATATGGTTAGTCTCGTGTAGGCCCTCAGATAGTATCACCTAGTCATATGGTTAGTCTCGTGTAGCCCCCTCAGATAGTAATCACCTAGTCATATGGTTAGTCTCGTGTAGGCCCCCTCAGATAGTCATCACCTAGTCATATGGTTAGTCCTCTGTGTAGGCCCTCAGATAGTATCACCTAGTCATATGGTTAGTCTCTCGTGTAGGCCCTCAGATAGTATCACCTAGTCATATGGTTAGTCTCGTGTAGGCCCCTCAGATAGTATCACCTAGTCATATGGTTAGTCTCGTGCAGGCCCTCAGATAGTATCATAATCCATACAGTTAGTCTCGTGTAGGCCCTCAGATAGTATCACCTAGTCATATGGTTAGTCTCGTGTAGGCCCTCAGATAGTATCACCTAGTCATACGGTTAGTCTCGTGTAGGCCCCCTGTAGTATAGTATCACCTAGTCATACGGTTAGTCTCGTGTAGGCCCCTCAGATAGTATCACCTAGTCATATGGTTAGTCTCGTGTAGGCTCCCCCTCAGATAGTATCACCTAGTCATATGGTTAGTCTCGTGTGTAGGCTCCCTCAGATAGTATCACCTAGTCATATGGTTAGTCCCGTGTAGGCCCCTCAGATAGTATCACCTAGTCATATGGTTAGTCTCGTGTAGGCTCTCAGATAGTATCACCTAGTCATCTGGTTAGTCTCGTGTAGGCCCTCAGATAGTATCACCTAGTCATATGGTTAGTCTCGTGTAGGCCCCTCAGATGTTGAAGTATCACCTAGTCATACGGTTAGTCTGGTGTAGGCCTCAGATAGTATCACCTAGTCATATGGTTAGTCTCGTGTGGGACCCCTCAGTTAGTATCACCTTGTCATATGGTTAGTCTCGTGTGGGCTCTCAGTTAGTATCACCTAGTCATATGGTTAGTCTCGTGTAGGGACCACTGTTAGTATCACCTAGTCATATGGTTAGTATCGTGTGGGACCTCAGATAGTATCACCCTATTCATATGGTTAGTATCGTGTGGGACCACTGTTAGTATCACCTAGTCATATGGTTAGTATCGTGTAGGCCCCTCAGATAGTATCACCTAGTCATATGGTTAGTATCGTGTAGGCCTCAGATAGTATCACCTAGTCATATGGTTAGTATCGTGTGGGACCTCAGATAGTATCACCTAATCATACGGTTAGTATCGTGTAGGCCCAATGTTAGTATCACCTAGTCATATGGTTAGTCTCGTGTAGGACCAATGATAGTATCACCTTGTCATATGGTTAGTCTCGTGTAGGACCCTCAGATAGTATCACCTTGTCATACGGTTAGTCTCGTGTAGGACCTCAGATAGTATCACCTAGTCATATGGTTAGTCTCGTGTTGGACCTCAGATAGTATCACCTAGTCATACGGTTAGTCTCGTGTGGCCCCTCAGATAGTATCACCCTAGTCATATGGTTAGTCTCGTGTAGGGACCAGATGTTAGTATCACCTAGTCATACGGTTAGTCTCGTGTGGGCTCTCGTGATAGTATCACCTAGTCATATGGTTAGTATCGTGTAGGACCCTCTGATAGTATCACCTAGTCATATGGTTAGTCTCGTGTAGGCTGACCACTCGTGTAGTACCTCCTTGTCATACAGTTAGTGTATCGCGTGGGACCAATGTTAGTATCGCTTTGTCATACAGTTAGTCTCGTATAGTCAACCAGTCAGTCTGGTGTAGTTAGGCGGTTAGTGTTGCCTAGTGTCACAGTGAGTCTCCTGCAGTCCCACAGTTAAGTAAGATAAATGAATAACGCCCATGTGTATGTCTTCAAGTCACACACACACACACACACACACACACACACAAACATATGCTTATCAGCCATGCGACATCGCAGTCTCAAATGGGTGATGCGTGCTTGTATGTTCATATATCAAATTCATGATAGATGGGAGATTTAATCTAACAGGCGCGTTTTGTCAAATGTTGAAAGTCTGCTGTGCAATATAGCAGTAATTTGTCACATTCCCCAAATATAGGGACCGGTGTGAGGGTAGTGGGTGACAAACACTGTGGAGTGTAAGACGTCAACATCACTGATAGGTGTGGAGCGTCAAGGTATATGGATGGACCGATAGACACTGGTGCTGACATCAAGTGTTCCCAAATAGTGTTTTCCATCATCAGTAAATGTGCTTATATGTTAGTGGTCAGACAGAACTCAAATACATTCCAGTTGTACCTACCTAACACTGCCTTTAATACATTCCAGTTGTACCCCTACCTAACACTGCCTTTAATACATTCCAGTTGTACCTACCTAACACTATCTTTAATCTTTAATACATTCCAGTTGTACCTGCCTAACACTGTCTTTAATACATTCCAGTTGTATATACCTAACACTATCTTTAATACATTCCAGTTGTACCTACCTAACACTGCTCTTTAATACATTCCAGTTGTACCTACCTAACACTGCTCTTTAATACATTCTTTAATACTGTCTTTAATACATTCCAGTTGTACCCTACCTAACACTGCTATCTTTAATACATTCCAGTTGTACCTACCTAACACTATCTTTAATACATTCCAGTTGTACCCTACATTCAATACCTACCTAACACTGTCTTTAATACATTCCAGTTGTATATACCTAACACTATCTTTAATACATTCCAGTTGTACCTACCTACCTAACACACTGTCTTTGTATTTAATACATTCCAGTTGTACCTACCTAACACTGCCTCTTTAATACATTCCAGTTGTACCTACCTAACACTATCTTTAATACATTCCAGTTGTACCTACCTAACACTGTCTTTAATACATTCCAGTTGTACCTACCTAACACTATCTTTAATACATTCCAGTTGTACCTACCTAACACTGTCTTTAATACATTCCAGTTGTACCTACCTAACACTGTCTTTAATCTGTTCCAACAGTGGTTCGATGTTCTCGCCCGGCTGCCCCCGGCAACGGCGCCATCCAGTGTGACGGTCTGGTGTACGGGAACAGTTGTATATATTCCTGCAGTAAGGGCTACGAGATAGTGGGGGCAGCCAACACCAAGTGCGGACTCAATGGACGGATGTCCAGCAGTGCTCCAGCATGCAGACGTAAGCATACGACCAGTCCGTCCAAGTAACGATAAATGCTTGTAGAAGTCTCTTTCTTCTTTCACATACTCTCCTACAGAGAGAGAGAGAGAGAGAGAGAGAGAGAGAGAGAGAGAGAGAGAGAGAGAGAGAGAGAGACAGAGAGAGAGAGAGAGAGAGAGAGAGAGAGACAGAGAGAGACAGAGAGAGAGAGACAGAGTGAGAGAGACAGAGAGAGAGAGAGAGAGAGAGACAGACAGAGAGTGGACTAACCTTTCCAAATGAGAAAGGGCACACAGAGAGACACACAGCAAGAGAGACAGAGTTGTCTTGGACTCCTTGGAGCCTCTAGAGGCAGGAGAGACCAGCGGAAGTTGTGTTTCCTGGGTGGTCTCTTGAATATGGACCACAGAGAGACACAGAGACAAGCTGTTCATATCCCGGTTGATGGGAGCACAACGAGTCAGAGAGACAGAGAGAGGGTGCTTAAGAGACCTAGACAGTCACTTGGAGATCAGGGTCAGAGAGAGGGCGTTCGAAGTGGAGGAGAACAGAGAGACTTCAGTCAGAGAGACATGTAGCACGAGACGATGGAACAGTCAGTTGGCAGATGACAGAGATCTTCACAAGTTCCAGCGGGATACATCGCCAGCTTGAAGTCCAGAGCACAGAGGAGGAATCAGAGAGAGAGCACAGAGAGAGAGAGAGACAGAGAGAGAGACAGAGAGAGAGACAGAGAAGCAGAGACAGAGACATCGGAGAGGGAGATGTACGAGAGAGAGACGCCGAGTTGGAGTGGAGAGACAGAGAGACTCGGGTGACTGTGGACAGGCAGAGACAATGTTGAGCCAATCGAGAGAGAGACACACAGAGAGAGAGAGAGACAGACAGACAGCTTGTTGTCGAGTACAGACGAGACAGAGAGGATCAGAGAGAGAGAGAGGTGCATAAAATAAGAGTACAAAGCTGTGTTCCAGATTGTGACTCTTGCATTTGACTGATTAAGAAAACGTGGTATTACAATGCGCACGGAAATCCACATAAGCATAAATACTCTTTCTGTACTCTTCACTACTTCATGGAGGAATAAAAGATTATATATAGACACACGCAGACGCCCAGGCACTCTCCCACACACATACACATAGGCAGATACATGTTCATGTACGTTGTTACCGATTACAGGAGTGAGTCCAAGTATTATACGTTAATAATGCCAGCAATACCCTCATCTAGCTGTGTCGTGTGGAACTCCGTCGCCGATCAACAATGGACGCTTCACCTGTCACGGAACCACATTTGGAAGCACGTGTCAGGTTACCTGTGACGTGGACTACACGGTGGACAGTACGGCGAGAAGCATCACGTGCAAGGCCGACAAACAGTGGACTCGTACAAGAGGCTGTCTTGGTAATATCTACAGTACAAACAGAAATTGTTGAGAATTTAAAGATTGTAAATGTTTTATTTTTTGCACTCATTTTCTCAGGTATTAAAATGTGAATATTAGCAGAACATAACTCCAGGTTCAAAGACAGGTGAACAGTTAGTATTTTGTCAAGTCACCATGGGCAGCAATGCAGGCTTCAGTGCGGCGGGGCATACCACTGATCAAAGAAGTTAGAAAGTCGTGGTCCATGCTGTCCCAATATCGGAACACCTCTTCTTTCATTTCAGCAATATTTGTCCGATTTTTCTTATTGACACTTTCCTTCATAAGTCCCCAAACATTTTCTATTGGATTAAGGTCAGGGCTATAGCTTGGTTTGGTCAATCTAATAATGTAAAATTTTGGGTCCGAAACCAGGCCTGTGAATGCTTTGAACGATGTTTTGGGTCGTTGTCCTGTTGGAAAATCCAAAAATGTCCATAGAACACGTGAGCAGATGAAGTAAATGTCCCTCGAGAATATTTGTGTACCGCTCACTGTTCATATTCCCTTCAAATACACAGAGGGGCGTTACCCCTAACACAGATATGCCACCCCACACGTTAAATTTCGGACTGTACTTTCAGTGTATTATAATTAGGAAACAGCAACACAGAACTTTCATCTGAGAAAATCACATTGTCCCAGTTAAAGTTTCTATGCTGTAAGCACCAGTTCAACCTTCGCTCCTTTTGTTCAGGTTTCATGATCGGTGAGGGAATTCCTCGACTTTTCTGCCAACCCATTGCATGCAGCTCAGTTCTAATTGTCTCCTTACAGACAGCCACAGTTCCTCTATCAATCATATCCAGCCTTAAGTTTTCTAAACTCCTTCGTTTGTTTTTAGAAACAAGAATACCAAGCCTCCTGTCACCGACAGTCAATTTTCTGGGCCTACCTGCGCCTCCCTGGTGCTCAATGCCATATCCATTTGCAATAGTTTTCAAAACACGATAAACAGTGGACAAAGGGAAGCCCGTTCTACTTGAAATCACTTTAGCTGATCTGATGTTCTTGTTATAATACTATAAAATCAACTTCCTCTTCTCTAAATCATCCATACTGAGGATCACTGAAAATGTCGTCTGCTAGCAAGTAAAGAAAGGGGGATAATTCTTCACAAACTAATGAAAAAGGATAAACGGGGTTGTCTCTCTTGATTGAAACCAAGCAAGGTTGTTTATACTAGAAATCCAATTAAACATATTCCTAAAATTCTCAATAATTTCTGGTCATACTGTATAACCTTCTTAATCCCGATAGAGGTTCATACAAGAAGCTTTTCTGGGCAATACCTACATCCATCTTAATACAGATAGAAACTCCAAACCTTCTCAAACCGAAAGCGGTTAATACAAGATGATGTCTGGGATAAGTTAAAGATGTTTGTCTGTTTTCCTACATTTCAATGTCATGTCAGACCATGTTTTGTCGTTTTTTTGCACTGGCAAGGCCTCCATGTTCATCTCACCCGTTCACTATAGAATGTAACTTCTGTATTACAGACATGAAGCCCCCGATGATATCCCCCTGCCCACACTCCATGGTGTTCCTAGCTGACAGGGGACGTACGTCAACAACAGTCACGTGGGAGAAGGTAACAGCGATTGACCCACCAACTGCACTTACACCCCGTGTGGTACAGACCAAGGGTCCGCTCCCGGGGTCAGTGGTGGACGAGGGAAGTCACTATGCGGAATACACGGCTGTAGACGCCGCTGGGAACGTTGCTGTACACACATGTTCCTTCAACGTGACAGTGAAAGGTGACCTGCTGCATTAAATTGTAGTATAAGCATATATATACACTCTGTCAATAACTACCTTGTTTACGTGGGACTACATGCCGATGAGGTTATATAAGGATATATAAGGTTATATATGGAAATACATGGTTATTTTTGTGTATATATCATTACATTCGGGTATATGAGTGTATATACGGTTATAGAGTGAGTGAGTGAGTATGGTTTGACGCCGCTTTTAGCAATATTGCAGCAATATCACGGCGGGGGACACAAGATATAGGCTTCACACATTGTACCCATGTGGGGAATCGAACCCGAGTCTTCGGTGCTACGAGCCACCGCTTTAACTACTAGGCTATTCCACAGCCCCACTGTTATAGAGGGTATGAAAGGAAATATAAAGATGCGTGTGTCAAGCTATGTTTGCAAAAGTAAGGTTTTCTACTCTATGTACAGTTGTAATAGCTGATATATGGATATATATGGTTCTATACAGATGTTTACTTTACTACCTGTTATGCAAATGAGTGAGTGAGTGAGTTTAGTTTTTAACGCCGCACTCAGCAATATTCCAGCTATATGGCGGCGGTCTGTAAATAATCGAGTCTGGACCAGACAATCCAGTGATCAACAGCATGAGCATCGATCTGCGCAATTGGGAACCGATGACATGTGTCAACCAAGTCAGCGAAACTGACCACCCGATCCCGTTAGTCGCCTCTTACGACAAGATATTCGCTTTTTATGGCAAGCACATGGGTTGCTGAAGACCTATTCTACCCCGGATCTTCACGGGTCGTTATGCAAATGGATTTTATAGAATGAAACAATAGCCACCGACATACGGCAAATACAATTAGTCTGAATTTCTGAGGATGAACAATTGTATCTATGCTGTCTGTGCGCCGTTGCCCAGCCGTCCGCTGCCCTGCTCCCCGCCTGGACAACACAAATCTGCTCCAGTACTCATGTCCCCCTGACCGTATCCATGGAAGCGAGTGCGTCCTGAGCTGTGGCCGGGGTGCCCTGGCAGGACCAAGTAAGATCGTGTGTGAGAAGGACAACTTCTTTCCCCCGTCAGCGCAGTGGCGGTGGAACACAACGTCCGGCATTCGGCCAGGCTGCAAGGGTGGGTTCATTTAATAATGTCTATATTTATGTTCATTAAGTCAAACTGAATGGTTTTCCGAAAGGCCCGTCGGACGCTTGCTTTGTATCATTTGTACATACTGCACCACCTCGACATTCAGCACAGTACATATTGCACCATCTCGACATTCACCACTGTACATATTGCACCACCTCGACATTCACCACTGTGCATACTGCACCACCTCGACATTCAGCACTGTGCATACTGCACCACTTCGACATTCACCACTGTACATACTGCACCACCTCGACATTCACCACTGTGCATACTGCACCACCTCGACATTCACCACTGTGCATACTGCACCACCTCGACATTCACCACTGTGCATACTGCACCACCTCGGCATTCAGCACTGTGCATACTGCACCACCTCGACATTCAGCACTGTACATATTGCACCACCTCGACATTCACCACTGTACATATTGCACCACCTTGACATTCACCGCTGTGCATACTGCACCACTTCGACATTCACCACTGTGCATACTGCACCACTTCGACATTCACCACTGTGCATACTGCACCACCTCGACATTCACCACTGTGCATACTGCACCACCTCGACATTCACCACTGTACATATTGCACCACCTCGACATTCACCACTGTACATATTGCACCACCTTGACATTCACCGCTGCATATTGCACACACCTCGACATTCACCACTGTGCATACTGCACCACCTCGACATTCACCACTGTGCATACTGCAACACCTCGACATTCACCACTGTGCATACTGCACCACCTCGACATTCACCACTGTACATATTGCACCACCTCGACATTCAGCACTGTGCATACTGCACCACCTCGACATTCACCACTGTGCATACTGCACCACCTCGACATTCACCACTGTGCATATTGCACCACCTCGACATTCACCACTGTACATACTGCACCACCTCGACATTCAGCACTGTGCATACTGCACCACTTCGACATTCACCACTGTGCATACTGCACCACCTCGACATTCACCACTGTGCATACTGCACCACCTCGACATTCACCACTGTACATATTGCACCACCTCGACATCCACCACTGTACATATTGCACCACCTCGACATTCACCACTGTGCATATTGCATCACCTCGACATTCACCACTGTACATATTGCAACACCTCGACATTCAGCACTGTACCTATTGTACCACCTCGACATTCACCACAGTACATATTGGACCACCTCGACATTCACCACTGTACATATTGCATCACCTCGACACTCACCACTGTACATACTGCACCACCTCAACATTTACCACAGTACATATTGCACCATCTCGACACTCACCAATGTACATATTGCACCATCTCGGCACTCACCACTGTGCATATTGCACCATCTCGACATTCACCACTGTACATATTGGATCACCTCGACATTCACCACTGTACATATTGCACCATCTCGACACTCACCACTGTACATATTGCACCATCTCGACACTCACCACTGTACATATTGCACCACCTCGGCATTCAGCACTGTACATATTGCACCATCTCGACACTCACCACTGTACATATTGCACCACCTCGACACTCACCACTGTACATATTGCATCACCTCGACACTCACCACTGTGCATATTGCAGCACATCGACACTCACCACTGTAGATATTGCATCGCCTCGACATTCACCACAGTACATATTGCACCACCTCTACATTCAGCACTGTGCATACTGCAGCACCTTGACATTCAGCACTGTGCATATTGCACCACCTTGACATTCAGCACTGTACATATTGCACCACCTTGACATTCAGCACTGTAGATATTGCACCACATCGGCATCCACCACTGTACATATTGCACCACCTTGACATTCAGCTCTGTAGATATTGCACCACCTCGGCACTCACCACTGTACATATTGCACCACCTCGACATCCACCTCTGTACATATTGCACCAACTCGACATTCACCACTGTACATATTGCACCACCTCGACATTTACCACTGTAGATATTGCACCACCTCGACATTCACCACTGTACATATTGCACCACCTCGACATTCAGCACTGTACATATTGCACCACCTTGACATTCAGCACTGTAGATATTGCACCACCTCGACATTCACCACTGTAGATATTGCACCACCTCGACATTCACCACTGTACATATTGCACCACCTCGACATTCAGCACTGTAGATATTGCACCACCTCGACATTCACCACTGTACATATTGCACCACCTCGACATTCAGCACTGTAGATATTGCACCACCTCGGCATCCACCACTGTACATATTGCACCACCTTGACATTCAGCACTGTAGATATTGCACCACCTCGACATTCACCACTGTACATATTGCACCACCTCGACATTCACCACTGTACATATTCCACCACTTCGACACTCACCACTGTACATACTGCACCATATCGACAGACACCACTGTACATATTGCACCACCTCTACAGGATTTACTCCTCACTTTGTATCACGTTTGAAAGCACCACTGTACATGTTCTACCAACCCTGTATAATTCTCTACACATTCAAACTTTTCGAAAAGAACCTACCTGTTGTGTCACGTCATAACGAACCACTCTATATTTTGTTTCACGCGAAAATGTACTTACGATCGGTTTGAAACATAAAATGTGACTAACTTTACCTTGATCACCAATGAAAAAAGAAAAAAAGGAACAACATTATCGGCTGTTTGCTAGTTCCAGGCACTGTCTCATGACCATCATGTCTGTTTGTAGTGCGGGCCTGTCCAGCCCTCCGCCCTCCCCGCGGTGGCGCCCTTTCGTGTGACGGCTGGGACACAGGCGCCCTCTGTCAGATGCAGTGTCACGCTGGCTTCAGCTTCCCTGCGTCAGCTCTAAGAGGCATGTTCACGTGTCGCCAGGACAACAGGACTTGGTTCCCGCCACGTGTACCGGATTGTCTAGGTGAATACCTCTACACTGACCTCTACCCGTGCACTGAGCCACACCACCAGTAACCCACAAGTGTACCTGATTGTCTAGGTGAATACACCTACAGTAACCCAAACACCCAACCCCCCACCCACCCCCTCACTCACACACACAGACATCTCAAGAACCATCCCTCATATACATATTATACAGTTCTGGATTTTTCTTAGCAAAAACATGCCACACGACAATTACCTCGGCTCTTCCAGAACCCGTGAAGGTCCGGGTTAGAATATTGATCTTCAGTAACCCATGCTTGTCGTAAGAGGCGACTAACGGGATCGAGTGGTCAGGCTCGCTGACTTGGTTGACACATGTCATCGGTTCCCAGTTGCGCACATTGATGCTCATGCTGTTGATCGCTGGATTGGCTGGTCCAGGCTCGATTATTTACAGACCGCCGCCATATAGCTGGAATATTGCTGAGTGCGGCGTAAAACTAAACTCACTCACTCACTTTTCCAGAATCAGGCCTGATGCAATACAAAAGGGAAGCAACTCCTCGGCCCACTCTTAACAGGTGAAAGTACATAGCCTTAGTTCAAGATGCGAGTTCAAATCCATACTCAGCGCTTTAAACTTTTGTGACCCATAACAACCAAAAGTTAATTAATGCGACATTACAACCAACAAAAACACACCGTCATAGCAGTCTGGTATGCTTGTGATGCTGATCGCTGAGGTGGTGGTTTGTCTTGGATAGAGGGAGGTCTTGGTGGTTGTATTGACTAGGTAGGCTTATGAAGACAATGACGAGGGTGTTCTAACTCGGCCTGGGTTGTGGAGCTGATGTGCTTTGCTCTTCTAAGTTGGGTGTCGATTACTCCTCTTTGCTTGCAAGGGGTAGTTAGATGTGAAGTGAAGTAATGATTCTTGTAGGCTGGTTTCCGGTAGAAACTTTAGTCCACTTTGATGTTATGTTAGGGGCAGTTGTGAAGTGAAGTGAAGATGTGAAGTGCTCCTTCTTTCTGATGTTTATTGGAAGTTTTGCCAACATGGGCCTCACCACAGTCACAGGCGATTGTGTAGGCAACACACAAGGGTTCTTGTTGTCTTGAGGTTTCCAGCCATTGGCTTTCAGTACAAGATAATGCAAGTATTCGCGAGTACATTTACAAATACCATCACAGGCCATGATTTATGTTCTTATCAACTTGGTTTGGTGACGTTACATAAAACACAAATACATGTAGATACAATTTCAAATTTAGATGGAAATATTAATATGATATGTAGTGCGGGCAGCGGAAGGCGTGCAGTGAACAACAGTGTGCATGTAATCATCCAAGAGGCCACATTGCAGCTACCATGTGTACTTCCAGCCTTGATGTTTTCTGGATCCTCCATGCCTTGTTCGGAACGTAAAGAATGCACCCTTTTCTAAAAATAAGAAACAAACCTGACAAAAAAACAAACGTTCATAGAGGTTGTCAGTGTCCTATTTAACTTGATTTTAACACATATTCTCGGCGGCTACAGGTCTGTATAGATATATATTAAGTTTTTTATGACATTGGAAAGTAAATAGTCTATGACCATAAATCAAACGCAGGCCTGGTAATTATGATGGCTGTACATTAGATGAGGACAGAGTATTTGTTGAGTTCCTCCTGCAAGGACCGGAAAGTTGAAATACTCGTCGTGGATGCATACTTGGATATGATACATTTTAAAAGCATTAGAATTACGTCTATTTTGATTTTATTGCTCAAAACATGTTTTTGTGGAACTATTTTAATGGTGACCATAATGTACAGCTGACATTTCTCAACCTGCTGTTTTCCCCGCAGCCACCAACACCTTCTACTCCATAAGCATGACCAGCAGCTTCTACTACCGTGGCCAGTGCGTCCAGGCACACCTCCTGCAAGTGAGGCGCAACTTCATACTCGCGCTCAAAGCATCCATGTTCGGGTTGGAAATGTGCAAAGACGTTCGGGCGTGTCAGGCTGATAATGTCAAAGTCACATGCGGATCACGGCTAACTAAGAGAGACATCGACCAAGCGATTCGAGTCAAGGTCAAGTTCACCTTTCCCTACGAGCTCTTGGGTAATGGCACCAATACAACAGGCCTAATGAGGTTCAAGGACACGTTTGTGAAAGGACTCGTTGGGTCAACCAAGTTGCAGACTATTGGAACTGATCATCTGATGTTGAACAGTCAGCTGACCTCATTCGGGAACCCCTCACCTAGATGTCGCCGTGGCCAGAAGGCACTCAATGGAACCTGCTGTAAGTACAGAACTCAGACAGTGGTTTACAATGCTGTGGACTTGTTTCTTGTTGTTCCACATCCCTATATCATGAAGCCTCACTCTTTAAAACATGACCTGAACTGAACAAACATGACCTGAACTGAACAAACATGACCTGAACTGAACAAACATGACCTGAACTGAACAAACATGCTGAACTGAGTATGAGTATGGTCCAACAATCCGCATCAGGTCATGGTAGCTGTAACCAACGCAAGACAATGGTAGCTGTAACCAACGCAAGACAATGGTAGCTGTAACCAACGCAAGACAATGGTAGCTGTAACCAACGCAAGACAATGGTATTATTATTCTACATTTTCTGGACCTGCATATTGGGTTCTGTTTCAGCCGGTTGTGGACCAGGGTATGTTGTCAATCCGGTGAGCGAGACCTGTGTTCCATGTCCCGTGGGTTACTTCCAGGACAAGGACAGCGCCCTCTGGTGTCAGCCATGCCCTCTACGTCATACCACGTCTACCTGGGGAGCAACATCGTACGCGGAGTGCGCCAGTATGTATTGGGCCTACGTGACCTCGTGACTAACGAATGAAGCTCTTTAGAAGCTGGTATGATGAAGCGGAACACTTTTTATGGATAGACAACTTCTCTGTTGCAGTAGTAGTTGCGACGTTTAGGTGTAGATCCTAACACAGCTCCTCAAGCTAATGATGATAGTAAGACTCAGGTTCTACACCGAAACGTTTCAACTAAAACTGCAACAAAGAAGTTGTCTATCCATAAAAAGAATGAACCTCTGCACATAGCTTTTCTCTTACACTGCAAGTCAAATCTAGGTTGTGTCTGTGTCATTGTATTAGACTGGAAATATTTGAGTGCAGTCAACAGGTCTGTTGTGTGACTGTCAGGATGGTAGCAAGGCCTCGTGACAAGCAGGTGCTGTTACATCAACTGATTGTTTAACGAGTATGGTTCTCTGTGTGTGTGCAGTACTAATAACGCCGTACTTCTTGCAGGTCGCTGTCTCCCGGGACAGTACTCGGACAACGGCCTGTCACCCTGCCTCCAGTGCTCGTTCGGCACCTTCCAACCTGACCACAGTTCCACGTCCTGTCGCAGGTGCCCGCCCGGTACTATCACCCCACACGATGGCGCTGTGACCATACAGGAATGTCAAGGTCAGGACTCGATACAGGGGACTGGTAATACAGGCAGCTGTGACAGTACAGCGACATACGGTGACATTACACACACGCGCGCGCACACACACGCACAGACACATTATATATATTATATATTTTTATATTTCCCAGCATATGACGTGACAATTGCCAGCCATGGGAAGGCATTGTTCAGACAACAAGCTCGGGATCTGAATCAGTGGACGTACTCCCTATGGTTCAGACTGCATGGTTCAGTCCACGGGGATGTCATGCTCGGACAATGGTCAACAGATGCTGTTCAACAGGTGGTGGCCTTATCAATAACAAACAGCACAATCAATTTCTATTCTAATGGGTAAGTTAAACGCATCAAAGCTACACTTTCATTCAGTACATGTTTTCAGTGCATTCTAAAAACATTGACTTACAAAGATTGTTATGCATCCTAATCGTCCAACATATATGGGTGTCGTGTCGTGTCGTGTCTCCGGCAACCCAGAGGTACACCAATCACTGACTCCACTATCGCCATACATACACGACTATGGCACAAGGAGATCTTTGATAGGTTTCAGATGTTGGACGAACATAACTACCTGACACTTGCATAAAGATATATTCTTTGTAACGGCTACTTGTCCTGATCTATAAAGGTATAATTTAGACGTGCAGTTATCTAGTATGGTTGACCTTGACCTTCACTCATGACTGATGATACTGATCCATTGTGTTAATTCACACACCTACAGCCACCACCGTTACACTGCAGCTTCAAGAATCTGTGGCTGACATTTCTTTGACCTATTAGTATGACGCCAATCCATCCAATAATTTTTAAACCGTAGAAAACGATAAGGTAAAACTATCAGACGAGCCTACAACAATATTCCGCCAGTATAATACCAGAACCGGTTTTCTGTCTGACTGACGCTACATTTTGATGCACAGCAACGTCTACAGCAAGACGGGGATCACGCTCCGACCAACGTGGAATCATTGCGTCATTACGGCGTCTACCGGAGCCACCGCACGCGCCTACATCAACGGCCACGAAGTCCTAACTGTGACGACATCCATGGTGTCCATTCCACAGAACTCCCGGCTCCATATTGCGGCCGATACAGCAGGTGATCCGCCACTATCGTTCAGGGCTACCAGGGTAGAGAATAGTGATAGGGATAGTGTGTGTTGACATAGCTTATGTATCATATTCAGTTTCAGTCCCATAAAGTGTTCAGGATTATGTTTGACAACTGCCACCTTATTTCTTACATCCAGATCAAAGGGACATAGCTACTTCGTCTTTGTTATCACATCAACGACTAGCTAAAGAACTATCAAATAGGATACCTAATCACTACAAGATACCTTAAGCGTATAATACATATGTTGCCATTTCCAGGCGTCAGCGTATCCAGGGTTTTCCTCCATGACTATGTCATTGGCGACGTTCTGATACCGGGTCTGGCCAAATCATGCAGCGTTGACGAGACTCCGCGAGAGTTAGATCTGGACTCTATAGATCATAGTACCTCAAACACTGACGTCATCTTTCCAAGCGTCTGTAGAAGTCAGTAACGGTTTTAGAACTGTGGTCATACTTCACAGTTCCCGACGACTTCACATCGAATAAACATATAAATGCTGTGAGTTTCTGGGATTGTTTATTGGTTCCACTGTTCTGACTTGTTGCAGCGGAAAACAGGAGCTGTTTGATCACAAATGTACGCTGGGAAACATGCTTTACTCCAAAGCGGGGCTTATGTGACTGAATGTAGTAAGGCAATTCATTTTGCAGTGAGTTGAGTCATCTAAGTTCTCAGGAGCCACTCACTGACCAAACCGAATTGGTGTCCAGAACCAAATAATGAATGGTTATGAAACCCAAACGTAGACGCACATGTTTGAAGAGCTGCACAGCGTACTATAGCTGGTCACCCGATATATGACGCTACGAAAATCATGTCAACACGAAACCAAACCAAAAACTTCAATAACACAGACATACCATACCACCAGCCGAGATGACACACTCAATGACCATGCACATGACCATGACCATGCACCACATGACACACTCAAGCCGAGATGACACTCAATGACCATGCACTCAATGACTCAATGACCATGCAGATGACACACTCAATGCACCATGATGACACACTCAATGACCATGCACTCAATGACATGCTACACTCAATGACCATGCAGATGACACACACTCAATGACCATGGACACACTCAGTGACCATGACACACACTCAATGACCATGCACATGACACACAATGACCATCGATCACCATGCAGATGACACACTCAATGACCTTGCACATGACACACACACTCAATGACCATGACACACATGACCTTGCACACACTCAATGACCATGCAGATGACACAATGACCCAGATGACACACCCAACAGAAACAAATACAAAGCTATCCTTATTTGGCACGGATATTGGAACTAGTTCACTACGCACCGCACGAGGATCATCTTGATATGCTTGGTGTATGAGACTTGTGTCTAGGACTATGATATACTGTAAACGTGGTGGATACCCACTCACATGTACACGATTACAATATGATCAAATGTTTGAGATAGTTATCACCTACTGATTGCTGTGTTCTCAAAGGATGTTATTTCTTCTAAGACTGCATGTGGTGGGATATACCATTTTAATTTCAAGATGATATAACAGAGGATGTGTTCCGATAATACGAACCCTACGGATCACTGGTGGGTTGAACCTTGGCGATATAGTCGTAATGACACATATGAAATTCTTTCAGAGTGGGTTTTTTATAGGGAACCTCAGTGCAAAGGAATACCCAGTCTAGACAACCCTCAGAAACAAGTTCGTTGGCTGTGACGGGAAGAAATGTTATACAACTAACAATTACATAATAACATTAATATATGTAAAATTTCAATGAAAATACCAAATGTGGATTTTTAATATTTACTTAAAGTACAATTACAAGGACAGCAATGGCGAAATGTTACAGCAGGTAATATCAGTGACGTCGTTGGTAGCACTGGTCAGATGGTTCAACAAGGCCGACATACAGGGAGAAAACTGGTGGTTTGGATTTAATGGGGGATGAGAGGCCTGTTCACGTCGACTGACATGGCCTAAATATCAGAAACGTCGATACCGTAAGCAGATTTTACGAGCGCCTCATACTGGCTGCCCCTCGCCATCGTAGACCATAAACCTGCTGTACCTAGAAGAACAACAGAACTAGGTCATAAAAACATTGCCACAAGAAAAACGTCAGTGTGGTGGGTACGTAAAGCTAATTTATACAAGACAAGACGAAGAAAATGTTTATGACCATGTTAGACCATGTTACAAGAACATTCACATTATTCCAAACCATAAGCTGACACAATACAGTGGTACATTATTCCAAAACACATAAGCTGACACAGCATACAGTGGGACACAAGCGTTCCACGGGAACAACAAGCGTTCCAACAGGACACAACAGGACACAAGCTTCCACAGGACACATGCGTCCGGAACAGGACACAAGCGTACATTGTCTATCAACGTAACTATTGTTGTGTTGACAGTAGTCTGTCTCACAGTCCCTGAACCACAGAATTTCCCCTACTGCCAAGCCCTCTCTGCGGAGTGCTAAAGCCCTAAATAAAGCAAGTCTAGATTTCCTGACAGATACAGGTTCAGAATCTCTGGTCTCCTTAGGGGCTTATAATGTATTTCAATACAATAGACCCAGTGTTTATGGGCTGATAATGTATTGTTACTATCAAAGATACGCAAGTGTTTATTATAATATATTCAGTATTGACAGATACACCCAGTGTTTAAGCCTTAATGTCTATGTTGACAGATACATACACCCAGTGTTTATCGACGGGGCTGATAATGTATTGACAGATACACCCAGTGTTTATCGACGGGGCTGATAATGTATTGACAGATACACCCAGTGTTTATCGACGGGGCTGATAATGTATTGACAGATACACCCAGTGTTTATCGACGGGGCTGATAATGTATTGACAGATACACCCAGTGTTTATCGACGGGGCTGATAATGTATTGACAGATACACCCAGTGTTTATCGACGGGATAATGCTGATAATGCACCCAGTGTTTGACAGATATAACCCAGTGTTTATCGATTGACAGGGCTGGCGGGGCTGTATTGACAGATACACCCAGTGTTTATCGGAGCTGATAATGTATTGACAGATACACCCAGTGTTTATCAATGATAATGTATTGACAGATACACCCATGCATAATATTCTGTCTAGTTATGGAGCCTAAATTATCAAAAACGTCTGAGTAAGGACATTTGTGTATGTGTTCTTTTATTTAAAGTCTTCTTTTTCATGATTCACTTTCATGTCACTGTCGTAAGAATTTTCTCGTCTGGTTGAATGATATGCAGCTGCTTCACAAGCACGCACATCCGGGACATATACACTGCGTTACTTCAGGCTGTAGTGTTGTTTCTGCGATTTCTCCTTAGTTCCAACTTGAGTTTGATGGCTTCTTCTGGAACCAGCCGACCATAAGCCTTTGGGTCGAATTCTAACACTTCCTGTAACAATAGATACAGAGATAGTTAAGTCTCCTTGATTCGTGTTCCCCTACTTCTGATGACACCTCATCAGCGGGAGTGACCATACGGCCATCGTAGGTACAAGAGTTGGGCATAAACATGCTGATTTTCTCGTTATATTTTACGACTGAGCCCTTACACGAAAGGTTTCAAGTGTAAAAATGAGCTATGGATGAAAGAAAGGGGCACTTGTGGCCGTGATACAGTGGTTCGTGTAGGTTTTGCTCAATTGTGTGCTGTTTGATTTCTAAAATAGGTTGTTGTGGCCAAGTACCAGTCACGCATTGAGATTTTAGAAGGAGGCAGATTTCTGATGGACTTGCAAATCCCTTCCTGTCAAATCTTATCATTGGCTTAATGCTTCATTTTACTGTCAATATCGTTTGTTCTCCAATGAGGAAATTACAGAACATGTCTGTGAAAGCGCTATGTACGTTAGCGTCTGTATGTAGAAGATATACCTTCGTGGAATATTGTCATCCCATCACCAAACATGTTATGGTTACTTCAGTCAGGATCTATTAGAGATAATGATAAGATATGATCGACAGCCTCTTTTCGCTCAAACTGCAGGTTATCGATGTTTTTTTTGTGAAAAGCGGTTTCAGCATGTCTAGAGGATAACTCTTTATATTAACTTTTCAGAATTAAGGTTCATACCATATGTGTATGTGCGTGTGTGTGTGTGTTCGTGTTTTCTTTTGTGTGCTGTGAATTGGCTGCACCAACAACTTCTTGCTCAAAGGGTTTTGTGAAAGTCTGGAGATAATCTAGTGTTCCACTCATTAACCGTTACCATTTCCAGAACAGTACGATGCAACAAAGGGAAGTCAACATCTGTTATAAACTCGGTCGGATCGGCCAACTACTTACAGGTGTGTCAGGTAGTCTGACAAACTCCACCCTTCTGAGGACATGGATCAGCCCAATCTTCATCTCAATCATGGCCAGTCTCATCGCGATACACTGGCGAGGACCGTAGCCAAATGGAAGCCAGGAAACGGGATTAATTGTCTCTCTCCATCTGAAGTAATTACAAATGCAGATATGCAATCATTGAAGGTATTGTTCGCTTGGTATCGACACATTCAATTCCCCCACGAACTCAAACACCTTAGGATGATTACTACTGCAGCGTCTTCACAGCGACCACTACCGCGCCCATTCCTGACCCTGGCGCCAATACTACCACCTCCATTGCTACCACGCTCACTTCTTCTGGACGTTTTAAACAGATTAGAATTTCGCTACAGCCGATGTGTTTAGCTTATGATGACATATGTATAATTACCCTATCTCCAGACAACAACTTATGATTTACCCTATCTCCAGACAACAACTTATGATATACCCTATCTCCAGACAACAACTTATGATATACCCTATCTCCAGACAACAACTTATGATATACCCCATTTCCAGACAACAACTTATGATATACCCTATCTCCAGACAACAACTTATGATATACCCCATTTCCAGACAACAACTTATGATATACCCTATCTCCAGACAACAACTTATGATATACCCTATCTCCAGACAACAACATTATGATTTACCCTATCTCCAGACAACAACATGATATACCCCATTTCCAGACAACAACTTATGATATACCCTATTCCAGACAACAACTTATGATATACCCTATCTCCAGACAACAACTTATGATATACCCTATCTCCAGACAACAACTTATGATATACCCCATTTCCAGACAACAACTTATGATATACCCTATCTCCAGACAACAACTTATGATATACCCCATTTCCAGACAACAACTTATGATATACCCTATCTCCAGACAACAACTTATGATATACCCACCGATCAGGAACAAACGAATCAGGGTCATCAAAATATTCCGGGTCTCTGTGAATCTCCAGCGTCGGGGCAACCACCACTGAGCCTCTAGGGAAGGTGTGGCCCTTGATGTCCACCGTGCTCACAGTTTCCCTGGCTACCCTGAGACAATAGAATGCAGATATACAACCGCCACTGAGCCTCTAGGGAAGGTGTGGCCCTTGATTTCCACCGTGCTCACAGTTTCCCTGGCTACCCTGAGACAATAGAATGCAGATATACAACCGGCACTGAGCCTCTAGGGAAGGTGTGGAGAAGCATGAAACATAATTGCAGCTGATTTTGGAAGGGTTGAAGGACGCGGTTGTGGATCATCTTTGTTTGCATACAACGTATGTCGGACGTCAGATACCATTAAGTCGGGTTCAGGTTCACTGATTCTGTTGATTGTCAGTGAGGATATATTCTCCCAATATTGATGACTGGAGACGTCCAGTCCAGTCTCAGTGTGTCATCATCCCCGCCACGCAGCTGGGTTATTGAGGAGTGCAGCCTTACACAACAATAGACAAACAACAGTAAAAACAGTCTCTGATTCATTCTTAAAAATAAATGGCATACCCGGGTACCGACATCTTAGAACTGCCACTTGTACTATTTGGGTATTATTTTTGTATACGTATATAGTACATAGAAGCCAGAAGGTGTGTAACGTATTCGCAACCACAGCAATAGAGTGAGTGAGTGAGTGAGTTTAGTTTTACGTTGCACTCAGCAATATTCCAGCTATATGGCGGCGGTCTGTAAATAATCGAGTCGGGACCAGACAATGCAGTGATCAACAGCATGAGCATCGATCTGCACAATTTGGAACCGATGATATGTGTTAACCAAGTGAGCGAGCCTGACCACCCGATCCCGTTAGTCGCCTCTTACGACAAGCATCGGTTACTGAAGGCACATTCTAACCTGGACCTTCACGGGTCACCACAGCCATAGAAGTTACATTGGTAATGAAGGTCAGAAGTTACATTGGTATTGAAGGGTCAGAAGTTACATTGGTATTGAAGGTCAGAAGTTACATTGGTATTGAAGGGTCACAAGTTACATTGGTATTGAAGGGTCAGAAGTTACATTGGTATTGAAGGTCCAGAAGTTACATTGGTATTGAAGGTCAGAAGTTACATTGGTATTGAAGGTCAGAAGTTACATTGGTATTGAAGGTCAGAAGTTACATTGGTATTGAAGGGAGAGAAGTTACATTGGTATTGAAGGTCAGAAGTTACAATGGTATTGAAAGTCAGAAGTTACATTGGTATTGAAGGTCAGAAGTTACATTGGTATTGAAGGGTCAGAAGTTACATTGGTATTGGAGGTCAGAAGTTACATTGGTATTGAAGGTCAGAAGTTACACTGGTATTGAAGGTCAGAAGTTACATTGGTATTGAAGGGTCAGAAGTTACATTGGTATTGAAGGTCAGAAGTTACATTGGTATTGAAGGTCAGAAGTTACATTGGTATTGAAGGGTCAGAAGTTACATTGGTATTGAAGGTCAGAAGTTACATTGGTATTGAAGGTCAGAAGTTACATTGGTATTGAAGGTCAGAAGTTACATTGGTATTGAAGGGTCAGAAGTTACATTGGTATTGAAGGGTCAGAAGTTACATTGGTATTGAAGGTCAGAACATTACATTGGTATTGAAAGGTCAGAAGTTACATTGGTATTGAAGGGTCAGAAGTTACATTGGTATTGAAGGTCAGAAGAAGTTACATTGGTATTGAAGGGAGAGAAGTTACATTGGTATTGAAGGTCAGAAGTTACATTGGTATTGAAGGGAGAGAAGTTACATTGGTATTGAAGGTCACAAGTTACAATGGTATTGTAAGTCAGAAGTTACATTTGTATTGAAGGTAAGAAGTTACATTGGTATTGAAAGGTCAGAAGTTACATTGATATTGGAGGTCAGAAGTTACATTGGTATTGAAGGTCAGAAGTTACACTGGTGTTGAAGGTCAGAAGTTACATTGGTGTTGAAGGTCAGAAGTTACATTGGTATTGAAGGTCAGAAGTAACATTGGTATTGAAGGTCAGAAGTTACATTGGTATTGAAGGTCAGAAGTTACATTGGTATTGAAGGGTCAGAAGTTACATTGGTATTGAAGGGTCAGAAGTTACATTGGTATTGAAGGTCAGAAGTTACATTGGTATTCAAGGGTCAGAAGTTACATTGGTATTGAAGGGTCAGAAGTTACATTGGTATTGAAGAGGCAGAAGTTACATTGGTATTGAAGGGTCAGAAGTTACATTGGTATTGAAGGTCAGAAGTTACATTGGTATTGAAGGGTCAGAAGTTACATTGGTATTGAAGGTCAGAAGTTACATTGGTATTGAAGGTCAGAAGTTACATTGGTATTGAAGGTCAGAAGTTACATTGGTATCAGACTGGTATTACATTGGATTGAAGGGTCAGAAGTTACATTGGTATTGAAGGTCAGAAGTTACATTGGTATTGAAGGGTCAGAAGTTACATTTGTATTGAAGGTCAGGAGTTACATTGGTATTGAAGGGTCAGAAGTTACATTGGTATTGAAGGGTCAGAAGTTACATTGGTATTGAAGGTCAGAAGTTACATTGGTATTGAAGGGTAGAAGTTACATTGGTATTGAAGGGTAGAGGCGGAGCGTCTCCCGGATGAAGTGTTCCAGGTACTCTATCTTCTGTATGTTGTCATAGGTCGGCTGTTCCTGTAACACAGGTACAAGTACCAGCATGTTGATATGAATAAATCTTGAGATTGTGGGTTTGAACAAATGATATGTACAGCGTATGTAACAGTGGAACTAGAGGGTGTATTCTACCCACTACTAATGGGTAAACCAGCAACGTCTGCCACTGTTGAATTTTCAGACTTAGTAGACGCGTGTCCATCTATGTTCGAATCGTAGACCGGGCTTCTTGTGCATTGCTGGGTGTTGTGGATGACGATGTAGAACAAATGCCTCGCCTCTTCTTAAAATAGCTAAGCGCCTCAGCAAAATAGTTTGCGTTGGGAATCATCATAACCGGACCTCTTAATCGTCGCTTTTGATAGACCTAATATCCATTTCAAAGACAACAAGCCAGTCACTGTTCACTCATTGATAATTCTGAGATGCAAACTGGGGACAAGGTGTCGGAACTTAATCACTCGACTTCAGTCGTTTATTGCCGCTTTGTACCATGAAGAATTCAGCTTAAGGTTAACATCATACATCACCAATCTCGGAGTCGATGGCCTCCACAAGTTTCTTCTGCACACTAGGATGAGTCGCCAGAACGTAGGCCATAAACTGGAGGGATGTGGAGATGGTCTCGAAGCCGGCACCGAAGAAGAACACACACTGAGCATAAGCTTCATCCGGCGACAAACCTTCAATATAGATCTGGCATTATACTTGTCTGTGGATAGAAATGAAGTGGATGAATACAAGGTTCTGTGATAGATCTTTAGGTAAATGTCATTTAGTGTGCAGAATGTACTTGAGGAACGTTTGGCATGTTTTAAGAGCATGTGATACGTGCTAAGAAGAATATAGAGTTTTGAATAACTTGGAATAAATATAGCTGACGGTAATATTAGTATATTCTCGTGTAATCATTTATGCGTATGTCAAGTAAAGCTGAAACCAGAATGAAGCAACTATTACTCTACTTGTATTAACCAGAGTTTTTAAGGCATTATTTTTTGTTTTGTTTCTACACTTACGATGGTGGCTAAGTAATATGAACCAAGTTTGTAGCCTATATGACGTAATGAACAAACTTCCACTAAGCATCACACTATACCAAGCATCTGTACATATACCTCCTTTCTCCGCGGTGCTGTCCTCAGCGTCAATCAGAAGTTGCAGAAAATCCATCTTCTTCTGTAACAGGAATGTCTGCTTTAGTCTCGTGTTGTACCTTATGGAAGTTAAAAGATCAAACAAGCCTTTAACAGTAAGTGACATGACCTACTTCATCAGGTCGCCGTCTACGCTGTTCAACGATGCGTTCAGCTGTCTCTCGGTAGAAGTTGACAACGCTGCTGGTGAATGTGTAGACCCCACACAGCTTCAGCAGGGGCTTCAGCGAAGGGAACATTGCTGGAGGAAGATGAATGATACAAATAAGTGGAATTGGCATGTGGCTTAGGTTGCCATCCAAACCTATTTTGACTGTTTTAAAATATTTACGCATTAAAATAGAGACTCGCTGAATAAATCTGATCTCGTCAACGTCGGACCATTTTATATACACTGTAAACGCATGTCCTGTGCCCGTCGGGGTGTAGTCTCCTCGCTTGGTTGTACGATAAACAACGTAGACTCGCCGTTTACTTCTTAATAAAAGATTGAGATATCTGGCCGACTTCAGTTTTCCGGTTCTCTAATAGGAACAACTCACTACCCGCTCAGAAATACCATCGGCCAATGTACTTGACGTCATTGTTAATAAACTACACCTCGTTCTTCAGAGTCCATTACAAGTTCTCGTAGGCCTTAACATGGCGACCCGTCTCACTGCAATCCCACTGTACTCTCTAATGTTAATAATCAACTGGTTGACGATCATCTTTATATGTACTGATGAGCATTAAAACATGAGTATTTCTAAAATCATGACAATATACGACAACAGCACATACACTGTAGCAGCACGTCAACGTCCATTAATTATATGACGTCACTGTCCGTCATTTTGCTACACCGTATACAGTTCCATGTGCGCACGTTACGACATATATCCACTGTGGGGTGTTAGCTGAGTCCTTTCAGTGACTATCAGTTTTCATTGATTTATAACATAACGCCATTTTGCTATCCTCAACTTAAACAATGCACTATGTTTCAAACCGCCAGTTTGTGTTCGAGATGCTAGTCGCTGTCTGGTGTTTAATGTTTAAGTGGTGAAGGGTGTCCAGCATCTTCAAAATGGGATGTTTCATAACACAGCAGGTTAAAAAACGGTAGCCCTTTGCTCACCAGAAAACAACAAGCATTTATTGTTGACGAATCCATTAGAGAACAACTTCGTGGAATTCACAACAAATGGATTGGAAAGATCTTTCTGAGAATCTAACTGAATTCCGAAGGCTGTTCCGGCAATTGTGTCCAGGGCGAATGCTACAAAATACCTGAAACATGGCAGATATTCAATGTATATACATTTTGGAGGAATGTTTCTAATTTCAGAACTATGCACTTGAATGTCGAATATTACCAGAAATGACTCACGTTACCTGACTGACGACAGTAGCCTGCAAACTGCAAACCTAAAGTACAGCCATGACACCTGTATTAAATATATCTCAACCTACACGTCATTTATTGTTTGGTATATTTTATCCACCATCAAACACGGGTCCGGCATTATATGTTGCCCTCAAATTATGAACAGATTTTTAAAATAATTTTCAAGTTTCAACACTTGTTGATTCACAATTCACCCGCATGATATACAGACATACAATATCGTAAGTCAATTGAGATCGTTGGCTGATACGTACCTAGCGTCATATAGGAATAATGTATGTTTTATTCTGGAAATTACATGACGTCATGGAGGGCAATTTGGACCCGTATTGTGAAATGCTGATACAATGATCAGCTTCTATATTTTCACGGAACATGCCCCACCTCCTGGATAAACAATGATTACATTCAGCATCTCCCGTCATGGAGGGCAATTTGGACCCGACGATTGTGATAATCCGTGTGTGATCTTGATCATCAATGATCATAGGTGGCGTCTGTGTATGATCTTATCATCAATGTATGAACATAGGTGTCTGTGTGTGATATTATCATCAAGGTATGACCTACCTGGCGTCTGTGATGATCTTATCATCAATGTATTACTTTCACATAGGTGGCGTCATGTGTGCTTATCATCAAGGTATGACGTACTCTTTCACATAGGTGGCGTCTGTGTGTGATCTTATCATCAATGTATGACCTACTCTTTCACATAGGTGGCGTCTGTGTGTGATCTTATCATCAATGTATGACCTACTCTTTCACATAGGTGGCGTCTGTGTGTGATCTTATCATCAATGTATGACGTACTCTTTCACATAGGTGGCGTCTGTGTGTGATCTTATCATCAAGGTATGACCTACTCTTTCACATAGGTGGCGTCTGTGTGTCCGGCAGCCTCCACCAGGTTCCTGGCCAGCGACTCTGCTGCTGTGTTGATGTGGCCACACATCTGTAATAAACCATGCTAAGTGCTATGTGCGTTTTTCTGTTCCATGAGGGTCTAAGGTTAAATCTTTCGGGAACAATTGGTATCATCCACATTTGGTTTGTTTGTTTGTTTGTTTGTTGTTTACTCTGCACCCAGCAATACTTCAGCTGTATGCCGATGATCTGTAAATAATCGAGTCTACACTAAACAATCCAGTGATCAACAGCATGAGCATCGATGTAACTGGATCGGGCGGTCAGGCTCGCTGACTTGGTTGATACATGTCATCGTATTCCAGTTATGTAGATCGATGCTCAGGCTATTGATCACTCCTTTGTGTGGTCCAGTCAAGTTATTCACTGACCGCCGACGTTTTTGCTGGTACCATTATTTGCTGGTGAATCACGAGCACATGTTCTTGACACAGTCGGGAATCAATTCAGACAGTTTGTTTGAATACTAGTATGAGTTTACTGGTAGTAAACATTGTGTGCTGCTAACTATCCCAGCAATCAGAGTCTGAACCTTGTTCCCGAGATACCAAAGACTTCAATGCAGCCATGATCACAAGAAAGGACAAAGGCCAGCTGTTACCATCTATTCAGAAAGTTTGCCTCCTTCTTGAACCGTTGGTACACAGTAACGAATACAAAAATCAGGACCCCAAAGATTCGAATCGAGAGCTTACAAACGTTTGATCAAAACAGAAAGAAACCATTAAATCAGACGTAGATTGCATGTCAATTAATTTGAAATGTACATGATAGTGTGGCTCTGTGCGCCCAGTAGAATGTGTTCCATCGGACTGGTGATATTCTGACGCTGACGTGGTACGTTTTCTCTATTGCTGACAATATGACCCTTCGGTAGTCAATCGTATTTACAATACCAAGTATCGTTGACAACTTGCTATCAAGTGAAACCACAACTAAATGGATGGTGTCGAAGCTATATGCTGATATTGGCCTACGGAGAAGAGGAACCCAATGAATGTCTTTTACAGCCGGTGATTTATGTGTACGATGTTATCATTTGTTGGATGTTAAAAACAATAACAGCAAAGCATAACCGGCTCTCGTGGCCGGCATCCAAACCCTGTCTGCCCTAATAGCACAGCCTGTAAAAGCTTCAAGTAAAGATTATGTATGTATTAAACGTCAACGCCAAGAATAACTAGATTCCACATGTGGTAAAAGGCAAAATAATCCATTGAAAACTATTTGCATGGACCAGACAAAATCAGGGATAACACCAAGAATTCGCTAAAAGGTAAGCACGTCCATCCTACCGGTAGCCTCCGCCATACACTATTTGCAATAAGCGTATACCCATGTCATACCTTGGCGTCCTGCAAACAAACCAGACATTGTAACGGTGGACCGGAAAGCCTTGTCAAACGTAAGGGCAGTTACTGATTTCGTTGAAATCCAACACGTTATGACTATGGTGAAAACGTCAGCCGTGTAAGTAAAGGACAGCGTTTTAGAAATGTGTTCGTCTTGCAACACAGTGGGATCGAGTTCAGTGCCTCGAACCATTGCCAGAGTCGCATCGTCGTGACAATGTATTTACTGCACAATATATGGAATTTAGCACCACCTAATTCCAAAGGAACGTTTAAACAATTTTGGTCCAAAGAAGCAAAGAGCCTCAAGTTTGGGATCCTCCTGTTCCATGTACAACAACAACAACATGTTCGTATTTATCACGTGGGTGGTGCTGGATGTGTATGCACACTATTCACTATGCACGACTATTTCTTGTGACTTTGGTTTCTTATTATCCTTTAATTATCACCAAAAGCCGAGACTTATGATCCCTGTTGAAGTCGTGAAGTCTGATCCTAACAGCGTGTGACATGCTGTGTCGGCACACCAGGATATACTTACATGCTTCAGTTTGGCCCCAGTGAAGGTAGGAGTGGTCATCTTGCGTAGTCGAGACCATGTGTGATCCCTGGCGAAGGTAAGAGTCATGTCCACAGGGTACGGATTCATGTTCAGCGATTGGAATATGGACTGAAATAATCAAATATTGCACTAACATATCTGCAGAAACTACCTGTCCTTAACAGACGCTGTGTGTCTGACTGTCAGTTGGGTCTACCCGTCCTTAACAGACGCTGTGTGTCTCACTATCAGTTGGGTCTACCTGTCCTTAACAGACGCTGTGTGTCTGACTGTCAGTTGGGTCTACCCGTCCTTAACAGACGCTGTGTGTCTCACTATCAGTTGGGTCTACCTGTCCTTAACAGACGGTGTGTGTCTCACTATCAGTTGGGTCTACCTGTCCTTAACAGACGCTGTGTGTCTCACCATCAGTTGGGTCTACCTGTCCTTAACAGACGCTGTGTGTCTGACTGTCAGTTGGGTCTACCCGTCCTTAACAGACGCTGTGTGTCTCACCATCAGTTGGGTCTACCTGTCCTTAACAGACGCTGTGTGTCTCACTATCAGTTGGGTCTACCTGTCCTTAACAGACCCTGTGTGTCTCACCATCAGTTGGGTCTACCCGTCCTTAACAGACGCTGTGTGTCTCACTATCAGTTGGGTCTACCTGTCCTTAACAGACGGTGTGTGTCTCACTATCAGTTGGGTCTACCTGTCCTTAACAGACGGTGTGTGTCTCACTATCAGTTGGGTCTACCTGTCCTTAACAGACGGTGTGTGTCTCACTATCAGTTGGGTCTACCTGTCCTTAACAGACGCTGTGTGTCTCACTATCAGTTGGGTCTACCTGTCCTTAACAGACGCTGTGTGTCTCACTATCAGTTGGGTCTACCTGTCCTTAACAGACGGTGTGTGTCTCACTATCAGTTGGGTCTACCCGTCCTTAACAGACGCTGTGTGTCTCACTATCAGTTGGGTCTACCTGTCCTTAACAGACGGTGTGTGTCTCACTATCAGTTGGGTCTACCCGTCCTTAACAGACGGTGTGTGTCTCACTATCAGTTGGGTCTACCTGTCATTGACAGACGCTGTGTGTCTCACTATCAGTTGGGTCTACCCGTCCTTAACAGACGGTGTGTGTCTCACTATCAGTTGGGTCTACCCGTCCTTAACAGACGCTGTGTGTCTCACTATCAGTTGGGTCTACCCGTCCTTAACAGACGGTGTGTGTCTCACCATCAGTTGGGTCTACCTGTCCTTAACAGACGCTGTGTGTCTCACTATCAGTTGGGTCTACCTGTCCTTAACAGACGCTGTGTGTCTCACTATCAGTTGGGTCTACCTGTCATTGACAGACGCTGTGTGTCTCACTATCAGTTGGGTCTACCTGTCATTGACAGACGCTGTGTGTCTCACTATCAGTTGGGTCTACCTGTCATTGACAGACGCTGTGTGTCTGACTGTCAGTTGGGTCTACCTGTCATTGACAGACGCTGTGTGTCCGAGTGTCAATTGGGTCTACCTGTCATTGACAGACGCTGTGTGTCTGACTGTCAGTTGGGTCTACCTG